GAAATCAAATGATCCATAACATTTTTTCCCCTATTACCCCACCTCAAATCATGAGAGTTTCAGCTGTTATTAAGTGAGAAGTCTAGACTCCATGTTTCCCAAAAGAAAAACTGAAAAGATGAGGGAGAATGGTATCATTAAAGATTCATACTCAGTCAGGCAGATAAAGAAAGTGTCAAGGTTTTTAACACTTGAGTTTACCAACTGCAGAACCCAGCCTTAAGGCTTATCTTATTTGGCTCCGAGTCCTGTCAACATAGACATCAAAAATACCCAGCATGCCCTAGCCTCATCTGTGACACTTGAGCAACCCTGCGCTTTTAAGAGGGGAGGACAGGATAACACGACAACAAGAACCCAAAGCTGTAGCCATCGCTAAAATTCATCCATTGCTTTGTTACACCTATGTTCGTTTGCGAAAATCCATCAAGTCAACCATTGAAGAGCTGGAAGCAGATCTGTAATAACTGCTTACTGCTGACCTACTGTACCCAGAAACATTTCTGAAGCACCACAACACAGTGAGAGAGAGGTAAACAACCTTGAGAATCCTCCTTTCTCTTCCCAAACCAGGCAATCCCAATGACTTTTGTCCTAAATGACTAAATTCATAGGAAGTAGTGGAAGAAATTCCTTTACAAAGCATACTGTATCTGTACAGATCTCTTATGAAGGAGAGAAATAAATAAGTACGATATTATAAAAGTAAGAAAACTTTCTAGGCTTTTCTGTATTATTTTTATCCCTCTATTGCTCACTGACACTTTTTCCAGTGTTTCAGGGGTATTGTGATCTCGTGCAACAGTAGAAATACACAATTCTTTATCTTTCTGACTTCCAAAGACTCATTAAGGCAGGAGTCTGCAGAAACAGTCCCCAAAAATAATACTTTAAAAAAATAAATGGTGGTAAGTTCAGCAACTTACAGATTTATTTATGGAAGTCCATGCTGAGTTACCGAACTTGAAAATATGTCTAAAAAGCAAGCATCTGGTTTCCATCTGTCCTCATGGGAACCAGGAAAGGACTAACTTAAAATAAAATATTGGGGTGCAAAAGACCAAGATCTCAGGGAGGGAGGAATACCTACAAAGAAAAATTCTCTACAGGGTGGAAAAAAAACTGAACAAACCCAGAAGTAAAACTATCAAGAAGCCAAAATCACAGGTCACCAAACAAACCAAAAACCCACATCCCATATTTCTGAGCCATATCTAATACAAAAAATTAGCAAATAATATGCCAAAGTTAGAATTTTATTTCACAACTTTAAACAAAAAAAAAACAAAAAAACCCACCAACAAAAAACAACAGTGAGACTTGTTTACGGAACTAATTCATTTTAAAGACACAGACCTGAAAATACTTGCCAACACATGCAAATGCGAGGCACCTACTGCTGTTCATGGCTGGTAAGCACAATTTTATCTATTTGTATTTAACCAATCTCCAAGCAAGCAGACTTGCAATTATGATAGCTGCAATTCCAGTTCCTTTCAGGGGCAGAGAACAATTCCATACATAAAAAAACAAGCTGCGATATTGTCTTACACAGAAAAAAAGGGAGCTTTTATTCTCCCTTCAAATATTTTGCCAACATTCATTTACTAGTTGTAAAACATCCTAAATTGCTTTTCCACAAGAGGTACATGAACATATGCCTCCATAAATACTGCTTTAATCCTCTAAGTAAAGTTTTTGAAGGCATTGCTTTAAACATTCCTTCCAGCCTCCCAGGCTAGCTACTTCTTGCACCTTATTTTGTTTCGTTTACTTTTTTCCTTGACTTTGTACATAAAGAATAGAGGAAGTCAGTGAAAACCTGACCAGCAGTACAAAACCCCTATCAAGTTAAAATATTTATTATAAAGAAGCTGATCATAAAGAATTTCCTCTCTCGCCTTTGCCACACAGACTCATGAAGTTTCCTTCGTCGCTTTTAAAAGGCAAGCTGTCACCATGCCCCAGCCAAACTGGGATGCTGGAGCCCATCAACCTCAGCTGGGATCCACTTCGGTTCCCTGGCCTACAAATCCCTAGGGTGTACCACTGCGTTTCTACCAACTATCATTTTGATCCTCGCAATACACACACAAAAGTGCTCTTTCTTTTTCAAGTAACTACTGACTATTTTGGTTAGTCCCTTCCTAGCAAACGGCACAGCCAACCCCACCTCTGACATGCCATGACACTAGTGGTATACCCCATATTGCCATTATCTCACATTGCACTGAAGTCTGCACCACTATACTAATTTCCACATGTTCCACGTGAATCTGAGTCAAATTATAACTGATAAAGAGTAAAGCAGGCATCCACAGGCGAGTGCAGAGTACTTCTTAGAATTTATTGTGAATAAAGGTCACTCGGTGCTACCATCAAATATGTACCAAATTGAACTTACAAAATACATTCTTGTTCCTACATCTAATTTGATCAAACTGAGTTCTTTCACATCTTTCATAAAACACCACATGGACATGCTCACAGTGCAACAGCCATTAGCACAAGCCATAACGCTTTTCAGTTTTCTTGGACCTCAAAGGAACGCCACTAACCAACTGATCATTGTGTTCCTTTAAAGCAGCAGCAAACTAGGGCAGTATCTAAGAATTTATATACTCCTTCAAGACTAACCTCAACATTCTTGCATTGTAGTTCAAACTATCAGTAGTCTATGTGGAAGCAGACAAAAGCTCAGAGAAGTGTAAAAACCCCTAAAGATAATAAAAAGCAGTAAAACCAAGGCATATGTCTTAGATTTTCCCATCTATGGCACCAACTCATATTTTGAGGGCCAACATTGTTTCACACTGACAGCATCTCTTTAATCTTGCATGTGAACAATAACACCTCAAAATATTTTATTTAGTTTGGTTTTGTTTTGGGAGAAGAGGCGAGAGCAAAAGAATATAATTATGGAGAATCCTCAATACTAAAATGGCCTATTGTGCCACCCTGTTTATATATGGGCAGCCAGCAACTGCAGTCAGCGTGAGCCAGTCTGACTCCAAGAAGCACTTTCTTCCAGGCTATAAAGAACAAACCAACCACAGCAAATCTGCTAAACAGCAATCAGAGCAAGGAAGTTTTCACAGAGGAGCCAGGAGAACACTAGCTACAGCTTTGGTTTCATGGGATCCGAGCAGAACTCAAAACAGCTGAGACAGTGGGACTGCAGACCAGCAGAGCCATAAGAGAGGACATCTGTCCCACCCCCAGATGCTGGGACAGAGGCCATTCCTTTGATCTCTGTTAGTCTGATCCTGACTTAGACTTCAGCTGTCAGGTAGCTGACACTGGTGAGTCAGATGTTACACTGAGTAGGAAGGGTGGGAATAGGAGGGTACCGGGCTAACTCATGATTAATTCAATTTTCGAACCACTCATCCCTGCACCCAACCAAAAGCAGCCTCAGACAAGTTATTGCCTGACTGAGCCACACCTGCTATTCCTTTCCAATATCTGATATTAACCCTGCCCATCAATTTATGGTGACAGAAGAAAGTGAGCCAAACCCCCACACTCCCAGCTGCCTGCTGGCATGACTCAGTGGGCTCCTGGAAAGTACACTAAACAACCTGTCTGCCTCGTTAGAAGACAGAAAAGCAAGTGACACACCAGATACAATGCACGATTCTTCTGATGAGATGTTTCATCAAGAAACTTTTAATGCCACCTTTACAAGTTTACCTTGAGAAGATGCCCTAGGCACAAACAATGCCACAAGATACTCCTTTCCTTAGAGACTGAGCAAAGGGAATCCCTTACTAAGGGTAGCTAAGGGCCAAAGTACAGAAGGATGACAGGAAAAATAAGAAATAACCAGCAGGGCTGAACTTCGAACTCTCTTAGAAAAGAGAGCACTCACACAACCGTTCAACTACACATCACTTAGATCTGGGAACAAGCACCATCACCCTGGAGAGCTGAATGTTTGTCAGACCTACAACCACGTCACCTCTTTTATTCTTACACCAATGAATTCTCAGAGAGGTGGTCCTTTCGTTAAAGGCAGAATAATTTGCCAGAAAAGGTAGCAACTGGTGAAGAGATACTGTTATGAGCCCCAACCAACACTCATTGAGGAACTTTGCACTGCTGAAGGCAGACACAAACAGCAATGATGGAGTACAACTGCTGTTGTTTTCTTTGATAACAAGAAAAGATGGTTCTCATTATGTGACGGCTTCAGAGGCCAATCCTCCTCCAAGATGCTTGCTCACCTCATTAAATAAAAATAGCAGTCTTCTAATAAAAGCCAATATTTAGCCCTGGGAGACTTCTGAGAGCTTGAAGGAATTTCTTGATTGCGCTGCTGCTCTTCCTGCTTCAGTTCCAACAACTCGCACGTGAGCGCCCTGCTCCCTTCTTCCAACCCCTCCCAAAACACAGTCCCAGGCTAACAGAGATATGCTGAGATTCAATAAACTGTCTATTTCAGGAATGAGACTGGACCAAGCTGTAACTTCTACAGTAGATGCTGCAATTAGCAAAGGGAGGCTGCTACTTTGTTAAATATGTCTCCCTGACTCTAAGCTGCAGTATTTTCATCCATATAACTCAGAGGTTAACTGTTTAAATCCATCATTCTGTTTGCCAATAAAAATGATGATGTAGGACTTGACCCAAAGAAGAAGTGCCCCTAGTCAGTCAGAGGAGGAGCAGGGAAAAAGAGCCTGGATAAGACTTGTTTTTAATTAAACAGGTGTTAACAAAACTGAAGCTCAAAAGGAAGAGGAACTAGACTTCAATAAATGTAAGGCAGGTGACAGAAGGCTGGAAAAGGTCTTTGTCAACTCACATAATTAACATCTAGTAAGTTTTATAAAATGCTAAAAATCAAGACACATTTCAGGCTACAACAGCATATCTTTCAATCATGGCCCCTTAACTCCATGCACACTTTGCCAAACGACTTACATGTTTTTATCCTACAAACAATAATTACTAATTCTATTTAAAAAAAAAAAAAAGAAAAAAAGAAAAAGGTATCTTACCTTTGCAGAGTCATGTTCAAATTGCCTGTACACGCCTTGATCTTGTTTTGTGCTTCTAGATGAGTCATCCCGTCCGTGCTTATCCCATCAATGGTGAGAACCACATCGCCTATCCCCACATGTGCTTGAGCTGCCTTGCCACCGTCATTAAGCTGAAATATCACAAGAACGGTAAATGAGAAACTTGGATGGTTTATGTTTATATTCTCTGAACACAGGACCACAATATCTTATTCACAGTGCTGTTTCACAGAAAGAAAGAAAGAAAGAAAGAAAAAGATATCTTTTCTCCTTTATGAGTATGTCCCTGTGAAAGCTTCTGCATTATCTTTTTTTCTGGTGGAGCAATATTTACAGCTGCTTGTTCTTATTTCACTTGAATGACAGGAAAAGCATTGCACAGTATCGCCTATTATTCAAAAATCAAACTTCACTTTTACTTTACTGGCTAGAAGCTTCGCACGTTCACCAAAAGACACAAGCAGGGATGGGCACACACAGTTTCCTGGATGCCAGGTTCCAGCCTCTTACCTCTTCATATATGAAATGTTTCTCACAAGAGGAGAGAGGAAGGCTGTAAACCAGCTTTTTCCATTCTAGATTTTCCATCTAAACAATCTCTTCGAAGTTTATGTATTTGTCAACGACTGGTCACCTGTGTGGAAGACTTCATTAATAGTGAAGCTGAGTTTTTCCTAGCTGCAACCACTAGAAAGTCAAAAGTTCAACATCACAGACAGACCAGTTACAGGACTTTGTTTTGCCTTTCTCTCCGTAGGTTTATAGCCCCCAGTGACCCACAGTATATTCAGACCAGAATAAGAAAGGCCTCTTGAGCAGTCTGCCTCTTTGATCAAGGTCACTGCTGAAGTTCAGCTCAACTGCCTTTGGTCCACTTGAATGAAATAGACTTGCAGCAGAAACCTTTGTAAAGTTCACATTATTGACCCCAATTGAATAAATTAAATCTTTTCATCCAACACCACTGAATTTCAACTAGCTTCATTCCCAAGAACAGAAATAGAAATAAAGCAACACATACTGATTTATATCCCTGGTCCTCAATCGGCTAATCATTTTACAGCTGGCTGCAAAGAGCAGTCCTGGACAGTGCAAATTCCCTCTTGGTTCCAGATGTATTTCCTACCTTACAGCAGAGAAGTTGTAGCTGCTTGTGCTGTGCATACAAAACCTCACAACCCTTTCCTTTGCCTGCAAGCATGAGTCTGTTCCTTGAAGGAGCTGCTATGTTTTTAGGGAAGTGCTGCAAATAGCAGAATTATTTCATCTTTATTTCCAAAAGCGGGCTTCACCTTGGGCCACAATTGCATCCTAGCAAGTAACTTCTCAAAGGGAGGCAGAAGGCAGGCTTTCATCTCTTGTGGTTTTTTAACTGCTTCTGGTTCAGTTCTTTCAGTAAAGACCAAGAAGTTTTGGTTCCTTGTGATTCCTTTTGACAATGACCAACCACAAAGTGCAGTCACCAGTCTCCACAACAGTCTCAAACGGGACAAGTGAGGCTAGATCTTGAGAAGTGTCTATGGCAAAGGTGTAGTAATACATGAAATGCTAAGGACTTAGTCTTTGCATTTCTGTATGAACAGTCACTTGTCAGCAAACCTGTGCCAAGTGTCCCATTAGCCTACCCAATATTGTTAAGGCTTTCCTAAAATCTCAGAGACTATAATACATGGTAGCTGTAACACGTGTGTTGGACAGCATCCAAAGACAAATACTCTAACTATGGAAAAAGTATTGCCTAATGCTGCAAGACAAGTGCAAATGCAATACTCCAAAAATGTATCATTTGACAACATGTAGACTGAAAGCAGGAAATTTCACATTTGATGGCTCACGGCTGGCATTTTTCAACATCAGTCTATGTCCCACAGACATTTGCAGTAACAATCTAGCAACTAAAAACGTTAGCCAAAAATGCAAACAAAACCAGAAAAATCCTTCAATTTGGTGTTAGCCTTATACTAACAAATAAATTGTTCTAGTTAAGGAGGAGGCTTGAGATGTAGGAAGACTTGTCATCTCTTCAGATTCAAAATAGCAGCATTACACATCAACACAGCAATTTTACCAAGAGTTGAAACTGAAGGGTGCTAACAAGGGAAAATTAGCAGGCTAAGTCCTACACAAGGCAGAAAAGTAAAAGACAAAGGAAAAAGGAGATGTATTGATTTCAGAAAAACTTTTTGACTTGCTAAATTCATAAGAATTACAACTGGTCTAAGTGCATCCTTTCACAAAAGGCTTTAACAAAGCCAAAATTCCTCCAAAATTTGGTGTTCACACCCAAATTTTGAGCTAGGAGACACAGTTACTAAAAAACACAGATCAGGGAACCCCACAAACATACAGAAAGCTATGATCAACATAGCTATTTATAGGAAAGCTCCTCAAACCTTTGGGTGAGGGGTGGAACCTGCCATAAACAGATCCCTAAACCGACACATTACAGCATGCTGACATTTGTCAGCAAGGTCTGGAAAAGGGAAAGGAACTTAAGGGCACTAAAAGCTAAAGGTCAAACGGGTTGCTGTGCTTTGTGACTGGACTCTCCAAGTGAATAAAATCTAGCTTTCTCTAAAAGTATGAAAATGTGCATGATGGTCATGCATTGTAATTTGTGATGAAAAAAAGAAAAAAAACACCCCACACACATTCAGCAATGAGACTTCAAAAGCAGGCTTCAGTGTAACTATTTTCATGGAGGGCTGGGGGTCCTTATCATCCACAGAAGTGTAAAAATAAAACAAAGCTAAAAAAAACCCCAAACTTTTCTGTTTGATTCTGGTGGACAACCCACAACAACCCACAACTAATCACCTGACTTTCAAGAGGTCACTCACTGTTGCCTACTGGGAATGAAACTCTGCAAGCACATAGGAGAGAGCTGTAAAATCAGCAAAACCCCAGGCTAAAAATCCCTTAAAAATACAGATGGAAAGCACACTCTACAGATGAGGAAAAAAAGCAGACAGGTCCCAAGAAGCATGACAAGCCCCTGGCTATAGCCACAACACCTGCCATGCAGGCAGGGGACTGAGTCTGCCTTATAGGTGAGGCTGTCACAGGCACATCCGAACAAATGCCTGGACAAGAGCATGCAGAGGGATGCCAAAGTAGCAATCTTCTTATCGCAATACAGTGGGCAAGACTCCCAAGTAACACCTACTGATTTCAGCTAAGAGATCTGACTAACCAAGAGAGGTGAGGTTGATACTTCTAGGAAATCTCAGCTGGAGCACAAGTCTTCCTTGACAGTACCAGCCAATATCCTTGGCTTGTGAGATGCCTATAATGAAGTGGGACTGAAGCGACAAGGGCAGAGTTTTACCACGCATGCAAGAGGAATATAATCACAGGAACAGCTATATAAAAATAAACAAACATATACACTGAATACAGCAGGAGGAATTAGAACATTTTAAATAATTACAGATTTTTTCCAGACTGCAGACATTTATATCCCAGGAGCCTCAGTTTTGACACTTCTTAGATTCCAACTGTGCACTGCCATTACAAACAATATATTCATCTACATATGGGGGATTATGTATGCAAAACTGTGTACATATTCGAACCGAAACTAAAACAAAAGGTCCCCCATATTTCTTGTCACAATAAATAAAACTCCACTTACTTCATTTCTTTTCACCTAGATTTTTGAAAAATCTGACAGACACAGAAGATATAAAAATGTAGGTGCTAATATATAGGAAATTTTGAAATTTGAAAGTCATTACTACTTTTGTACCGCCTTTTTTTTTTTTGGTTCTGTATAAGTGATTTTGTTCTTAAACTGAGAATTTAACTTTAGCTTAGTAAAATTACCTAGCATCAGTCACCAGTGAACTACAGTATTACCTACCCTTAGATACCAAAAGACTAGCAAACTGACAGACAAAAGCAAAAAAAAAAACCAACAAAAACCCCACACCACTCAATGCTTAATTTCTAGTAGGAAAAAAGCATGTACTCAAAACTACCTTTATTAAACGTACTCATGCAAACAAATGGAATCAATGCAACAAGACATACGTGCAGAAGAATATAGCCTTAAACTTGCTACCTATGAATCAAAGTAACTTCTAAGCACCACAAATATTCTTCAAATCATTGATGGATCTGTTTTAATTCTGTATTTACGGTACAAGGTAAGTTTTTAAAACTAAGCATGAATTACATCTACAAAAACCGGGACTTTTTCTTGATGTTACACAGCAAACTCTAAAGCTACAAAATTGCCAAACCAGAAATGTTTCCTCCTACGTAGCTCCACGTTTCTCTACTCGGCGAAGCTCATTCAAGACAGAGGGGGAGGAAAGCAGGAGAGACATTTCATGATCAGGCACCTGCTGAGGCCAATCACTCCCGCAGCCCCCAGCAGCAAACCTCTTTTCGGCCCCTCAGCTGAATCAGCTTCATGGCTGAATGCCAAAAGCCAGCCTAATGCCATCCAGAGATGTTCAGGACACTTTCTAATAAACATAAATAAAATCAGCCATCTAATGTTAGATTTCAGTTTTGTTTGACCAAAAAAAGAAAAAAATGTTGTCGTCATTTTAAACATCAGAACTCCAAAACTGCAAATATTGTCCTAAAACATGTTCCAAATGGAGACAAAACAAGTAAAGCAGTTCTCAATCCTGGATGAACTTCAAAAGCAACAGTATAAAAAGTAATCTCAGCATAGCTTTACACCTCAGGTTTTTAAAAGCAAACAGCCCAAAACACACTGGAATACAACTGTTTTCTTGAGCTAAATTTTAGCCAGCCTATTATTTTGCTTTGCAGTAACCAAAACTAAAAAAAAAAAAGTAAGGAAAATAGCTTTTTTACTTTTACTCTCCAGCTTTAATGAGATATTTTTGAAGATCCTTTCCAGGAAAATTGCACATGTGCACATACATGTGCATCTATCTCTGAATCAATGTAATTTGCAGCTTAATTAATTTCTAATTAACATATAACCATCTATTTTTCCTCACATGATTAAGAAAACTTACAAGCACCTCTTCTTTGAACCATCATTATTTAGCTTTTATGCAGTAATAAATGAAATACTTAAATTGCAGTTACTCATAAGACAAAGGCCTATTTGACTAGAGATGGAAGCTGCCTTTTCCACACTGCCTGCCTTCAATCAATCCTAGCTGCAACCAGCTCGTGTGATAGTGCATCACAACCACTTTCCCAAAGAAACTATTTCATAGTCTGACAGTAAATAATGTTCCCCTCATCAGACAAACATCCTTCAATGTCAGCTGCAACTTTCTCTCAGAATGTAATTCATTGCTTCCAATTTAAAACTCCCTGGGCTATCTGACATCCCTCCCTATCTTCTGGTACCACAGTTGGCTATAGCAATTCAGTTTAAAGACATGCATAATCAAAGCAAAAGTCAACCAGACAATGATCTTTACATCATCACCACTCTCGATTCTCTTTCAGTTTACATCCTTCCCTATAATAAAGTAAAAAACCAAAAGATAAACACATCCACATACAGAAAGAACATTACAAGAGAATTTTGCAGAATCACAAAATAAGCAATCAGGCAACCTCTCTTTTATCAAATAACCCTCTGCCTTTTCACACAGACATTCAAACCACAGGGGCTTTATCTCCCTGCTATAATACACTTTATGCTAATACTTACATTCATTACCTGTTACTACCTTGTTTATCCCTAGCCTCATTTCACCTGCCCAAAGTACCACCTTGCACCAACAGCCACCATTTTAACATCATGCTCTCAAACACTGACATAGAGATCAACGTACACTAGAAAGAACTCCTTCAGTGAATCACTGGGAGAGAAGAAGCCCTTACTGTATTTTAGGACACAAGCTTGCCCCAAAACACAAGGGGGTGGGGGGTGTGTGGCACACTTATGCTCCGTAGTTGCACTGGCTTGCTCACACGGATTGCATACACCTGACCTAACTCCTGATGGGTGGCCCCAGCACCACACAACCCACAGAGCAGCAGCATGGTGCACTCTGGTCTGACACCTGAACACCATGAACACAAATAGGGTATTGCTGTGCTCCAGTGTGCCCTACCTAACAGGGCAGCTCACCAAAACCCTTCCTCATCTCCTTCCCTGCTCAGAAGGAAGCAAAAACCCAACTTACACTCCAGACTCCCAACAGGTTTGGGACACGTAGGGTCCAGCTTACCACTTCTACATGAGAAGAAAAAAAAAAAAAAAAGCGCCATGGGAGCACCTGCTCTTTGTGGCAAATAAGCTTCCTCTGCACTCAATGGAAACTGAGAGCTGTATCATATTGCTCACAGCCTTTACTACAGCAATATTATTCACATAGCTAACAGATTAGCCAGCCAGTCTCAATACTTGCTTCCAAATCAAGAACATACATGCCAATTTTAATGTCCAGATCAAATTTATACAGCTGAGTTATAAGAACCCTAATGCATGGCTTGCAGTGGAAACCGCTGACACAAACAGCTATAAGAGGTATTATGAGGCACTCCTGCAAATGAGCTAAAGGTTTTCTCCAAACCAAGCTGGGATCAAAATTAACTTAGGTTAAAAAACCCTCTTGATAACCAGATTATTTTGCTACCTATCACCACCAGGAAAACCTGCCCTCACCTCACTCCAAGAAGGTGTATTCCTGCCTGCTGCTGTTTTCATTTCCCTCCTTTTTCTCCCCTGTAACTTTAACAGTGCTTCCAGACTGATTTACAAAGCTGTAACCTAAGGCATGCACAGCACACCAATAATCATTAAAGATAATGAGTAAGTATAATGCAAAGCACCAACCATACTTCTTGGTCTGGCTGTGGACCCCAAAAGCAGACACCATCCCAGTTCTGTGTGATTCTGTGAGAGTTACCCATGCCTCCTGACCTGTCCTCCCAGGTTCTCCAGCTCTGCTTCACCCTTTCCCTCCACACACAGCAGCTCCCTCACCGCAGCGCGGCAGCGGCGTGGCTGAAGCAGACCCAAAACAGCCCCTCGACTCATCGTAGCCCATGGGAAGAGGATGGGGAGGGCCCACAGGCATTCAGCCATTTTGTCAGCAAAGAATCCACAAAACCTTCTCTCACATTTCATTCTCAGTTCTGCTACTTTTCCTCAGCAGCAACCCTGATAGCAGTCTATATTTTAATGTGACTGAGCTGTGTATCCCTGTAGTCCCACATTCAGAAATTACGACCAAAAAAACTAACACAAAGCTTAAGTTTTCCCTCTACACAAACATGGCTGAGCATGCCTACGGGTTCACATTTTAGGAAAAAGACAAATGGTTTCAACCTTCTCTCAAAATTTTTCTCTTACTGCATTTCAATCCTTATTATTTATCTAATGCCCTACACACACACACAAAAAAAAATTAACTTGCTTTTGCACTTTAAATGAACTGTTGCAAACACACACATCACTGACCATCCTTGCATGCACCAAACGTGGAGCTATGCACCTACAGAGGAGCATAAGAGGACATTATCTGCTAAAACCAGAAGAGGCACCACGTAAATTACTCTTACCGTGACTGGGTTGATGTAGAAAAGGATCCAAAAATATAAAACAGATTTACAAAATAGGGTAACTGCACAATGCACAAGCCTTTTAGATACGCACTCTTTTATTTTTCAGTCAACTAACATTAAACATTAACTTGAACACCAGGGGAGTGAAGCAGAAGGAGCATCCCTTGCCCTCCCTCGCTTGCTCCAGAGCAGCTTGTTAGTAATCAGGAACAGTTTCCACATGCCAGTGCCAGAAGGGTTATTAGCTCGTACTATCTCTCACTTGTCACAGCTTGACTGATCATTGTTTCCTTGCAGCTCTGCTCTTCCATGAGCAGGTTTCACCTTTGCTAGCTCTCTCCCTTCCTCACAACAGCCCAACCACTGCAGGATGTAAGGAAGCAGAAACAACTTCACAAAAGGTGCCTTCCGCTTTCATTTTTGACAGAACACTGTTATCTCATCATTGCTGCAAGATCAGTAGCAGTTATTAGAAAGGATGATCCCTGCTTTTGAACTTACCAGTGTGAAAGGGAAGCAGTTAACTATACATACAGCAACAAACTCTTACACAATTAATGTATTTTACATGTAGCTTAAGCATTTTATTCAGGTACTGACATACAAGTTAAAATGTGGAAATACCCATCAGGATTCAAAGGATTATGAAAATGAGTCAAAATTCACACTTGAAGCACTGAAGAGAACAAAGAAGTGAAAAGATTTGTCACTGAGGCAGGATGGGCAACACTTGCTGAATAACAGGAGACAACTAATGTTCTGATTCGGAGAAGAAATAATGTCGCTGTCAAAAACAAGTTGCCAAAAGGACTGAGGCAAAATAATTCAGACATTGTGGCTAAAACTGTATTTGCAAGAAGAACATGGGCAATTCCAAAAAATATATGCTTTCCAAATACTTAAGTGATGGAAAATGATTTACAGTCAAGTGCCAGAATGTCTGCAGATATTTAAGACCCTAAATTAGTAGCTTTCATTAAGCCTTCTCTCAAGGAGCTCAGTCATGTTCTCAAGCTGCCAGCATGCCTTAGAGCCCTATTTATTTTAACTGGCTGTCTTCTCTCTGAAGATTATTCTTCTGTTCAGAGAGTTTACAGAAATAATCCAGATTTCTCCCTGGGAGACTATATGCCAGTGGGTAAAAATTACTGCCTACTTCATTTCTCAGAGAGACAGAAAAAGGAAATGGAATGAAAATGTAGCTGGAAATGCAACATAAACTGCGTACGGCTGCTTTAGCTTTTGGGAGCTGCAAGTCTGTAGAGTCTCTCCTTGAGTTGTGGGATTGTTTTTTTTTTTTTTGATATCCACCACAAATTAACTCCACAACCAAAGTACATGATTACTCGGGACTGCTGACTAGGCACCACCTTAGAAGTCATGTGATTTGCATCAGAACAGAAGTTCCAAGCGCCTGTCTCATTTGGAATGAACAGTTTGAAAGGTACTAAGTAAGTTTTATCCCCTAGGCCTCCTGAACAAACCCAAAACAAAGCAGAGTTAGTTTTCTCTAATGGAGCTTAAGTGTGAAGTGGCAAAAGGGACCAAGCTCAGCTTCTTCCACAGAAGAAATTTGTTTGCATACTGTAAAAGCCATGCATATGAAGATGCGTGCAGAGCATATAACGTTGTATTTCCTCTCTTCCCAAACAAGATCATTTTTATTCATTTGCAGATGATAAAATTAGTTCAGCTAACTGAACAACCATCTACTTAATAACCTTAGTAGCCCAAACATGTGTCATCTTGTTTTCATAAGGTTTTCATGGTCTATGATTTAGTCCCTCTTAATGGGATATACCCTCCCTGCATCAAACATTATGCAATCACCTCATGATTTCCAGAACATCCAATTTAGGAATACAAATAGAATAACATACATTATACTATGTAATTTAAAGGTATTGCAATATTTTTTTTGCCTTGGAGTCCTTCTCACAGAAAAAAGAAAAGCCTCATACATGACAGCAGTGAGAAGGAAATGTAACTAATGAAGCAATCCCACACATGAAAGCAAAGCAGAGAGAGAGTTAAGTGGGGAAATGTGAACCAAAAACTCATCTGACAAAATCTAAGCCAGTGGCAAGAAAATGCTATTACAAATTGAATCCCTCATGATACATCAGCCACTGTTTCACTTTCTCCTATCCAGAAAAAAATAGGCATGCATAAACACGTAGGAAACAACCCACTTGCTTCAAAGAATTGAGATAATGAGAAGCTGCACCACATAAGTAGAGGAAAATGGAGGCAAGTTCAGACACTGTGAGTATTGCTTATTGGCACAAACCACCTGTCCAGGAAGCACAGCTCACCTGAATGCCATCCCAAACTGACACTCTACAAAAACTGTAGAAGTCTATTTTCAAGGTGAAACCCAAGCACAGCAATGAGAGCCACTACCACATCCACTTCACACAGAAAGTTCTGCCACGTTTAGAAGTCACACATTAAAAAAAAAAAGTGCAAATTTTGTAAGCATTATAATTGGCCTCCAAAAAGGCTGGGGACTCAGAGCTACCTACGCTTCTGCCAGCTCTCCTTTGAGCATGCAGCTCAGCACCCACACAGAAAGTGTAGAAGAAATGCACCAAGGTGCAGAAGCTTCTTCGACTCAGCTATGCTGCATCAATAGAGGGTCCACATTTTAAGTACAAAGGCACTAATGCTTATGGCATGTTCCTTTGGTAATGTGGAAGAAAAAGGCAACCTTCAACATGTGAAAGAAGAAAACTCATTTCAGATAAATAGGCATGCTGTGAAGTGCATGGAAAGTAACAATTTAACCAAATATGGCTAATACACTAACCGTGCTGAGACCTACTCCAGATCAAGAAAAGCACAGTCCTATATGCACATGCCTTTATTTAATGCAAGGGAGAGAGAACTCCTCAGGATAAGCTGAATGCAAACTTCTAGCACAAAGAAATAAAACAGAAATATCAGACATTAGTAAATCCTAGTGGATATCTTGCCTTTTATATGTCAAGGGAATATTATAGCAGACATTTATTTTAAGCCAGACACTTATTGGCTAAAACCCCAAACTATAAAATACTGCAGAAAAAAAGTCCAATAAAAACCCCTCAGAAAAACAAGAAACACATTTTAAAGGAGCTGCACATTGTTTAATAAACTCATACCAGCTGTTTGTAGCTGACACAAAAATCTTTATTGCAAGCTAATAAAGCTCATGGGAACATATAACAATTTCAAATTTAATTTTCCATTTTGAAGTTACATACATATATACACACACCCCCCACACACACTGGGTTTTTTTTTACTTGATTTAAACATTACTTTTACGGGATTTGCTTATACGGTTCCAGGTGTGGGGTTTTTATATACCATTGTGTTATATATTCTTTAAGTAAATATGTATAAATATTTATTTAAACACACACACATATTTATATAAATAAAAAAGAATTTGTCCTCTCTGCTGGGGACCTATGCGAGAAGACCCCATGAAGATTATCAGCATTTTTTTTTTAGGCAACACGTGACAAAAAGCAGTTGTCCAGAGAAAATAAGAAGCTATTCAGGACAAGTACTCCGGAAAAATGAAGTCCCTCATTTTAAGTAAATTCTCCTTACCATTCAACTGCCAAATGCATTGCAGACATTTAAGACTGAATATAAACCCTCACAAAACTTCCTTACTAAAGCTCTAGAAAGGAAAATGCTAGTGTACTTGTTGCCACTATGAACTTCATCTAAATTCCTCGCTGCTGTATTTCAACAGTCTTCTGAGTTTCGCTGCTGAGAGTTATGCTGCAACTGCTAATCATAATAATCTAAAGTCTGAGTTACGCTGCAACATGTTTTTTCTCATTTGGACATCTGGAGATTCAAAAGTTACACACACAAGTAAACAGTGAATAAGGTTGGTTACCAAATAGCTCTGAAAAACTAATGAAGAAAACACAACCTTCAAATTTAGTCGCTGCAACATCCTATCACTTGCTCTCAGCCTATCACTGTCCAGTGGAAAGTGTCTGGACGGTCAATCCTGGACTTGCAGAGGAATTCTGTAGAGTCTAGAGCCTAGTAGTCACCTTAGCTCTCTGGTGACTTTTTTCCCCCCCTTTTTTTCTTCTTTTCTCCACCCCACACCCATTTGTATGTCATTACCTCTGCACTCTATACTAACAAAACTAAAATCAGGAGTTTCCATAATTAAGATGCAGAAAAAGTAATCCACCTTAAATATTAATTCTAATATTTTAGGACAAAAACCAAGACTGCTCTAGCATTCTGAAAAAAAAATACAGTATGCACTGCTGGTTACAGACAAAGCTAGGAAACAATTCCAGGTTAAATAATGCAACACCAAAACCCAATATCCATTCATTTCTGCAACTTGATCCAAGACAGACGGTATAAAAATCCTGCAGGTTGGGGTTTTTTGTTTGTTTTTATTACTGCTAATAACAGTACAAAATATTGATCACTCGCACAGGAGTCACA